TAAAACAAACCAACGACACTGAAAAGAGAGACAGACTGCTCCACAATAGTAGTAGGAGACTTCGACACGCCACTTTCGGTGAAGGACAGAATACCCAGAAAGAAGCTCAATAAAGACATAGAAGAGCTAAATGCCACAATCAACCAACTTGATCTTATGGGCATATACCAAACACTCCACCCAACAGCAGCCAAGTATGCCTTCTTTTCCAATGCACATGGAAAATTCTCCAGAATAGACCACATATTAGGCCATAAAACAAGCCTTAACAGAATCCAAAGCATCAAAATATTACAAAGCATCTTTTCTGACCATAAAGTCATAAAAGTAGAAATCAATAACAGAAAAAGCAAGGAAAAAAAATTAAACACATGGAAACTGAACAACACCTTGTTCAAAAACTACTGGGTTATGGAGGAAATTAAGGATGGAATACGGAAATTCATAGAATCAAATGAGAATGAAAACACATCCTACCAGAACCTTTGAGACACAGCAAAAGCAGTGCTCAGAGGCCAGTTTATAGCAATAAATGCACACATCCAAAAAAAGAAAGGGCCCAAACCAAAACATTAACCCTATAACTGGAACAAGTAAATAGAGAGCAGCAAAAGAAGCCATCAGGTGCCAGAGGAAAGGAAATAATAAGAATTAGAGCAGAATTAAATGAAATAGAGAATAGAAAAACAAATGAAAGAGTTAACAAGAGCAAAAGCTGGTTCTTTGAAAAGATCAATAAAACTGATAAACCATTGGCTAAACTGACAAAAGAAAAACAGGAGAGGAAGCAAAAAACCCAAATAAGACATGAGATGGGTGATATCACAATAGACCTGCCTGAAATTAAAATAATCATAACAATACTATGAAAAATTATACGCTAACAAATTTGAAAACCTAGAGGAAATGGAAAATTTCTAGAAACTCACTACCTACCTAAATGAACACAAACAGAGGTAGAACTAAATAAACCTATAACAAAAGAAGAGATTGAGAAAGCAATTTAAAAACTCCCAACAATAAAAAAAAAGCCTTGGCCCAGACAGTTTCAGTGGAGAATTTTACCAAACTTTCAGAGAAGTGTTAACATGACTACTACTAAAGGTATTGCAGAGCATAGAAAAGGATGGAATGCTCCCAAACTCATTCTATGAAGCCAGCATAACCCTGATGCCAAAACCAGGAAAAGACACCACAAAAAAAAAAAAATTACAGACCAATATCCCTCATGAACATAGACGAAAAAATCTTTAACAATTCTAGCCAATAGAATTCAACAACATATCTAAAAAAAAAATTCACTGTGATCAGTTGGGATTTATACCAGGTATACAGGGATGGTTCAACAGTAGAAAAACAATCAATGTAAGCCATCACATAAATAAAACAAGAGACAAGAACTACGTGATCTTATCCATTGATGCAGAAAAGGCATTTGACAAAGTCCAACACCCATTCATGAAAAAATCTCAGCAAAATAGGAAGAGAAGGGAAATTCCTCAGCATAATAAAGGGTATTTATACAAAGCCAAGAGCTTTCAGCTTCTGCTTCCAAGGCATGCATTAACTTGGAGCTGGGTATATTTACATGAGATGACTTTCTTAAAAATTAGCACTAAATTAGAGTGGACTTCAGGCATATTTAGTGAAGGCAACCTGATTGGCTACGGATTGACCCATGCCAAAGAGGGTTCTTCCTTAGTATCATTCAGCTAAGAAGACTAAAGAAAACAGAAGTAAATGTATGTAAATTCATATCTCATATGAGTATGATTTATGCATGGTTTTCTTTAATGAATCAGTAAGATAAGTACTCCAAACATGGCCATGATATAGGCTGAACATAATAACATAAAGATTTCTCAAAGATGTAGAACATGTTAAGTGATTTCATGAAGAAATGAGAACATCCCATAGATCATTTATTGTCTGCATATAACAGGAAGCCATGTCAGTAACAACTGAAAGACTCATTGAATATGCACTGTCATAGAAAGAAAATCATGAAGCCACATGAAACTAAGAATCTAGAAATTAGATATCAGGATACCGAAAATTATATTCATATTCAAAGAATGTTAGCAACACCTATCCCTCACTTGAAAAGGCTGTGGCAAATATGCTATTTTCCTTATGTTGTTGTATGTCATTCAGTCCAGACACCAACACAAGTGACAGCAAGCCAAAATAATCAAATAGGGATGAACACATCTCCTCCGTAGAAACTGCAGACCAGGTGCCAGTGAATTAAAAATTCCTCACCTAGCAATCATTTCAAGTTCTTTTAAAAACTAAAGATTTTCCAAAGTGAATCGCATCAACTTGGTGAATCACTCATTTTCAAAAAAAATAAGGTACTCATGTGATTGCATAAGCTCAATTGTCTGAAGAATAAATATACACATGTCCATTAGTCAGGTGAAATTAATCAAAATAAAAGACAGACACTTACCAGCTATTTTAGATACTGCACTGGTCCCACCCCATCTGGAGCAAAGGAGAATGAAGAAAACCAAAGACACAATGGAAAGATTAGTCCGAAGGACTAATGGACCACAACTATCACAGCCTTCACCAGACTGAGTCTAGCACAACTAGGTGTTGCCAGGTACCACCACCGATTGCTCTGACAGGGATCACAACAGACAGTCCCAGACAGAGTTGAGAAAAATGTATAACAAAATTCTAACTCACAAAAAAAAGACCAGTCTTACTGGTCTGACAGAGACTGGAGAAACCCTAAGAGTATGGCCCCTAGGACATCCTTTTAACTCAGTACTGAGGTTACTCCTGAGGTTCACCCTTCAGCCAAAGATTAGACAGGCCCATAAAACAAAATGAGACTAAATGGGCACAACAACCCAGGGGCAAGGATGAGAAGGCAGGAGGGGACATGAAGGCAGAAGGGGACATAATGGGGAACCCAAGGTCGAGAAGAGGAGAGTGGTGACATATCGTGGGGTTGACAACCAATGTCACAAAACAATATATGTATTAATCATTTAATGAGAAACTAATTTGCTCTGTAAATCTTCATCTAAAACACAATAAAAAAACACTCAGTTTGAATCAACACAAGGGTACACTTATTGACAACTCAACTTTATGACCCACACAGAAATAAATGCCAAACAATAAGCCCAAAAAATGACAGACTATGAGAAAATATAGATCTTAAATAAGTTTTGAAGAATCAAACTTGTGGTCAAATTAGAAGTGTATCCATAACATTTCCATTAAGATAAAATAATTCCCACTTCAGCTTAATTGTTTCAAACCCAATATATCATTCCCAACTTCCTCTTCTAAGATACCCAACTTTCTCTCCAAGGACTATCACACAGATGGGTCATGGGGTAATTCTATGAGGATGATTTTTATGTAATATATCTCTCAAGACAAGTTTGTGTCTTGTCAATGACCAAAGACATGGCACTTCCTAGGAACATACCCCTTAGATCTCAATATGCTTACCACAGATGTTGAACTTAAAGCCTGAGCCAAACAGGATCAGAGCATATATTCTTTGCAGGACTTCTGGGTGGTAGCGATTGCCCCAGAAAGAGCAGGTAAAGAGGGATCACACACATAAGTCTTTATAAAAGAAGAGAATAGTAAGAGGGGGTCATGCCAGCTATTTTTAAATGGAGCAATAAGACCAGTACTCCAAAAAGAGCCTGCTACATAGGCTGTTGGTCATTCACAACAAGCAGTAAAAGGACAAAGAATACAGGTTTCTTGATTTTGAATAACTTTTAAAGAGGTTTCATGCACAGATGAGAGTATTGCATTGGTTACCCTTTGGTAAATAAAAGAAGCCATATCCATAGCCATTGGCATTATTATTGCTTATGAACTTACAGGAAATGACACTCTTGAGGCCACATGAAACTAGAAACCTAAAAAGAAGCTCATGAATTTTATACATTTTTAAAGAATTGTGGGCAACCCTTTTTTCTGACATTCAGAGCTGTGGCCAAAATGCCATTATTCTTATGATGTTAAATGTCATTCATGACCCAAACATAAACTCAAATCCCTTCAACCAAAAGTAATCACATAGGGAAGACCATGTCTTATTTTGTATTTAAACCAGCAGAAGATCCAACAGTATACACTGAAAGCATGAAACAGAAAATTTTCTACATGATTTCAATGAACTTTCAGTAAAGAGTGAACTTTTCTCATGAAGAAGGCAGCAAAAGAATCTTCACTCATTGGGGAGAGGATCTGATTATGGAATTCCTGTTAACTGAACTGATGAACCTAGTCATTTTAAAAGCCTTATAATTAACAATCGACAGCACTCACAATTTTCTAAAAAAAAAACAAAGCAAAACAACAAACAAACAAACAAGGAAGACACGTGTTCCCTTGGAGCGGAAAATCAGGTATCAGACTACACAACAGTTCATCCAATTTCAAGTTCCATGGGCAATCCATATTGAAGAATCTTACATTCTGGTCTCATTAGGGGAGTTGTTCAATTATGGGAAGTTAATCAGTGTCGCCAATAGAGCCCTGTGCCAATAGAATCACATTTATCCAGTAGTGTATTTCTCCCAAATAAATATGACATATTGGACTGGATGCCAGTATATCCAAAAATTTTCACCTTGAAATTGTTCAAAAGTTCAGTAAGCCTAAACATTTACCAATGAGGATCACTTCAACTTGATAAATTACAAATTGTCAAGAAAAAAACATAGGGTACTCATTTTATCACATTGCATAAACCCAATTGCTTTGAGATGCCTAGTCACTTGTTCAATAGTCAGGTTGAACAAATAAAAATAAAACAGAGACCTTGTATCAATAGAATGATGATTTACTTCATAGGTTGTTTTTATAAATCACACAGTGAAAAAATGAGCTAAGGATGAGCCTGTGAAATGCCAAAATGTTAGGAATTTTAGATCAAGTTAGTAAGGTTAAAAGAATAAAAATGGGGTTGCAATTCAAAGCACATATAGAAGACTAGGCAAAAAGAATTTTTGACTAGCCTCAGTGTAATCCTATTCAGCATGATTTTTGTGTCTTCATTTCTCTTCAAGATGAGCCAAGGTTTTAGTATTGGTCCAAGCCATGGCACTCCCTAGGCATACATGCCCTTAGACAACGATGTGCTTACACACGTCTTCCTCCCCATCTTATTCTAAAGTGGATCTGAGTTAGTGTATCTAATGTCTAGGACCACAGGAAGGTAGGATTGCATCAGGACAGCAAGCCTAGAGGGTTAATCCTCGGAAATCTTTATCAAAGAGAACAGTATGACAGAGGTCAAGGGAGACAAATTTATTTACGTCTCTTGTGAGCTTTTCCCAAAGAGTTCAATAAAGTCAGTATTCCCACAAAAAACCCATTAAACAAGCGGCTGACCATTGACAACAAACAATATAAGGACGAGGTGTAGAGGTTTCTTGTTAGGAGATTCCGCATACAGGTTGAGGCATTCCATTGATTATTCCAGGTTGGTATATTCAAGGAAGCCGTATCCGTTACCATTGGCATTGTCAATTGCATATGAACTCTCAGGAAATGACAGTTCTGAGGTCACAAGAAACTGGAAATCTAAAATCAGCTGTCATGACATTCAGAATTGTATTGATTTTCAGGAATATTGGGCATCACTCCTTCCTGACATTCAAAGCTGTGGTAAATTGTCATTGTGTTTATAATGTTAGATGTCATTAATGACCCAAACATGAACACAAACTCCCTCAACCCAAGATAAGGACACAAGGAATAACAGGTGTCCTCCTATATTTAAACAAGAAGATCTCACTGAAAAAATAGTGAGTTGTAATCAGAACATGTCTGTACATGATTTCAATGAACTTTCAGTAAAAAGTGACCTTTCCTTATGAGGAAGGCAGCAGTAGGTCCTTCATTCATTGTAGAGGAGAGCCTATCATGGCATTCCTGTGACATAAGCTGCTAAAGCTAGTCATCTCAATAGCCGCACCTTAACAACTGATATCATCCCTCACATTGTTTTTTCTGTACGAAAACCTGGTGTCATTGTTCTTTGGAGCTAGTCAGGTATTAAGACTACTCAACAGTTCATCCAATTCCAAGATTCCATACTAGAGAACCATATAATCTGGTCTCTACCAGCAGAGCCATTCAATTATGGGCAGGTCACCAGTATCACTTATGGAGCTCTGCACCATCATAAAAATTTTATAAAAACAAATTTGTCCGGGTATGTGTTTCTCCACACCAATGTATCAGAAGAGGTACCAGGGTATCAAAAATTACTCAAAATGAAATTGTTTCAAGTTTTTGTGCAACCTAAATATTCATCCTTGAGGATCACAGTGAATAACTGTCATGGATTGAATTGAGTCCCCACAAAATATCTGTATTCCCAGTATTGTATAATTGTGTACCATTTTGTAATCTGATGTGATTTCCTCATGTGTTGTAAATTCAATCACTATGATCTAATAAGATGGATTAATGGCAGTTATACTGATGAGGTATACAAGATTGGATAGTGTCTTAAGGCAATCTCTTTTGAGATATAAAAAATAGAAGCGAGTAGAAACACATGGGAACCTCACATCACCAAGAAAGCAGTGCTGAGAGCAGAGTATGTCTTTTGGACCTGAGGTTCCTGCACAGAGAAGCTCCCAAACCAAGGAAAGATTGATGACATGAACCTTCCTCCAGAGTCAACAGAGAAAAAGCTTTCCCTTGGAGCTGACACTGTGAATTTGGACTTGTAGCCTACTGGACTGTGACAGAATAAACTTCTCTTTGTTAAAGCCATGCACTTGTATTTCTGTTATCGTAGCACTAGATGACTAAGACAATAACATAATTAAACAAAGAAACAAACAAACAAAAAAAAAAAAACACACACACACACAATAGGGACACATCTCATTTGATTGCATAAACCTAATGGCCTTTGGGCTGCATCTTCACTTGTTCAAGAGTCAGCTGGGACCAGATAAAACAAATTAAAGGCACTCACCTTGAATCTATGGAATGTTTAGTTTTTTGGTAGCTTGTCATTCTAAGTATACAAAAGAGGAAAAGTGCCAAGAAATTAGCTTGAGAAATGTTAAACTCTTAGACATTCTCAAGTACTTTAGTAAGGTTAAAATAATCAAACTGGGGGTCCACTTCAAAGTGGATAAATAAGGCTAGGCAAAAGGAGTTTCCCACTGAGCCTCAGTGTAATCCTATGGAGCATGATTTTTATGCCATCATCTCTTTCAAGACAAGTTTAAGTATCATCATTGACTCAAGCCCCATGGCACTTCATAGGCATACAATACCATAAATTTAAAATGCTTACCACAGATGTCTTCCTTCCGGCCTGGTGTCAAATTGGATCAGACTTTGCACATATTCTCTTTAGGATACTTGGATAGTTGGAATGGTACCAGAATTGCAGGCCAAGAGGGATCATCCTCATAAATCTTTATCAAAGGAGAGAGTCGTAAGCAGGGGTCAAGTGAGAGAAGTTCATTTCTCTGGCCAGCTATTCCCAAAGGGAATAAACCAGTACTCCCACAAATAACCAAGTATATAAACTGCTGACCAGTGACGACAAGCAGTAAAAGGACAAGGCATAGAGGTTTCTTGATGTAAAACAAAGTGTCAGGAGGTTCCAAGTCAAAATTGTGGCATTTCATTGATTATACCAAGACGATACATTCAAGAAAGCCATATCCATAAACACAGGCATTGTCCATTGCTTATCAAATCTCAGGAAGTGACATTTCTTAGGGATCTAGAAAATGGCTGTCAAGACACATGGACTTTTTTTTTTTTCCAAGAATTGTGGAACACCTCTTCGTGATGTTCAAATATGTGAAAAAAATGCCATTGTCTGTATTGTGTTAGATATCGTTCATGACCCAAATATAAAACCAATCCCCCTCAGTAATATATAAGCGTATAAGAAACAACACATCTCCTGCTATATATAAACTACCAGAAGAACACACTGAACACAAGGGAAAGGGAATCAAGACATATCTCCATTTGATTTTAATGAACTTTCAGTAAAAAGTGATCTTTCCTCATAATGAAGGAAGAAGTAGTTCCTTAATTCATTGTGGAGAGGCACTAATCGTGGCATTTCTGTAACCTGAACTGCTGAAGACAGTTAGCTCTAAGACCTAACCCTTAATAACTGACATCATATCTCATATTGGCTTTTCTACACTAAAATCCATAGAGTCACCTCTTCTATGAAGATAAAGTCAGGTATCAGACATGTAAGATTTCATTCAATTCCAATTATCATGAGAAAATTCTATTACAAAAGCTTACATTTCATCCTCCATGGAAGAGGCCTTCATTATGGGAGGTTCACAAGTGTCCCCAGTACACCTCCATGCCATTCGAATCCCATAAATATTTTAGAAAAACACATTTGCCCTGTTGTGTATTTCTCCCAATCCAACATGACATATGAGTTTGGGTGCCAGGTTATCAAAAATAACTCAACTTGAAATTGTTTCAAGTTCTTGTGAAACATAAATATTCACCCATGAGGATCACAACCACTTAGTGAATCACTTACTGTCAAGAACAAAAATGAGACACACTTATCTGATTGACAAAACTCAGTTGCCTCTAGGCTACATCTTCACTTGTCCAAGATTCAGCTTGGAACAATTATAATAAAATGCAGACACAAACTTTGAATCCATGGAATGGTGAATTTCTTCACCATAGGAATTTCTAAATCACACGAAGAGAGGAAAAGAGCCCAGGAATGAACCTGAAAAACATCAGACACTTAGACATTTTTGATCACTTGAGGTAAGCGAAAAGAATCGAAACGGGTGTCCATCTTGAAGTACATAAATAAAGTTGGGTGAAAGGAGTTTCCTGCTGGTCCTCAACATAATTCTATTGAGCAGGATTTTTATGTCATCATCACTCTTGAAGACAAGTTTAGGTGTCATCATTGCCAAAGCCCAAGGTATACATCCCCTTAGACCTCAAGATTTTTACCACAGATGTGTTCCTTCAAGCTCAGAGTCACACTGGATCAGAGTGTGCATATATTCTTGGCAGGATACCTTGGTGTTTGGAACTGCCCCAAGGATAGCAGGGAGACAGGGATCATCCTCAGAAACATTTTTCAAAGGACAATGCAGTAAGACAGAGGTCAAGTGAGAGAAATTCATTTCTTCATGTCTATGGCTCTTGCCAGTTATTCTCAAAGGTAGTGGTAACATCAGTACTCTCAAAGGTAAACCATCACATAGGCTTCTGACTACTGACAACAAGCAAGAAACAAACAAGATAAGGACAAGACCTACAGGTCTCTGGACATAGAACAAAATGTCAGGAGGTTCCATGCAGAGAGAAGACTTTTCCATTGGTTATCCCTGGGTGACATACTCAAGACAGCAGTATCTGTATCCACTGGCATTGTCCAGTGCATGGAAATTCTCAGGAAATGACACCCTGGGAGTCATAGAAAACTGGGAATCTACAAATAAGCTTTCAGGACACTTGGAATTGTATTCTTTTTCAAGAATAGTGGCAACACCTCTTCCTGAAAATGTCACTGTTCTTATAATATTTGATGTCACTCTTCACCCACAAACAGAAGCAATCCACCTCATCTCAAAATAATAACAGCAGAAAGAAGCTACTGTCTCCTCCTGTATTAGAACCAGCAGAGGTTCCTCGGGATACACAGAGCAGGACTCACAACAGGTCTCTACATGATTCCAGTGATCTTTCAATAAAAAGTGATATCCTTTAAATATTTTAGAAAGACACATTTGTCCAGTTGTGTATTTTTCCCAGTTCAATATATCAGACTGGGTGCCATGGTATCAAAAATTACTCAACTTAAAATTGTTTCAAGTTCCTGTGAAACCTAAATATTCCCCCCATGAGAATCACAGTCACCTGTTGAATCATTCATGGTTGAAAAAACAAACACCACCACCAACAAAAACAAAGAGGGGATGTGTCTTGTCTGATTTTCAAAACCCAATTTCTTCTGAGCCGTCTATTCGCTTGTCGAAGAGTCAGCTCGAATCAGTTACAATGACATAGAGACACTCACCTTGAATCCACGGAATGGTGAATTTCTTGGCTGTGAGTCTTCTAAAGCACACAAAAGAGAGGAAAGAGCCAAGGAATAAGCCTGAGAAACATCAAACTCTTAGACACTCTCTATCACTTGAGGGTGGTGAAGGAAAACTCTATGTGGGTACATTTCAAAGAAGATAAATAAGGTTGAACAAAAGGAGTTTCATGCTGGTCCTCTTTGTAATCCTTCTGAACACGATTTTTATGACATCATCTCTCCTTAAGACAAGTTTAGGCATCATCATTGACCGGAGTCATGTCATTCCCCACGTATAAATATCCGTAGGCCCCAAGATGCTTACCACGGATGTTTTCCTTCTATCCCAGTGTCACATTGGATTTCAGTGTGCACGTATCCTCTTCAGGATACCTGGAGATTTGGAATAATCACAAGGACATCAGGCCAAGAATCAGCCTCAGAAACCAGGGGCAAAGGAGACAGCAATAAGACGGAGGTCAAGGGAGAGAATTTCATTTCTTCTGGGTTATGGCTCAAGCAAGCTATTCCCAAAGGTATCAATAAAGGCTGTATTCCCACAAATAACCCATTAAGTAGGCTGCTGACCATTGACAAGTAAGATAAAGACAAGGCCTAGAGGTCTATGGATATAGAACAAACTGTCAGGAGATTCCAAGCAGAGAGGAGGCTTTTCCATTGATTAATCCTGGCCTATATATTCAAGAAAGCCATACCTGTATCCACCGGTATTGCCCAATGCCTGGAAACTCTAAAAAATGATACTCTGGGGGGTCACAGAAAGGTGGGGAATCTAAAAATCAGCTTTCAGGATCCTTGGAATTGTGTTCCTTCTCAAGAACTGTGGCAACAACTGACTGTAGCTCCAAAGAACAAGTGGCTGCATGTATCAGACTACTCAACAGTTCATCCATTTCCAAGATTCACGGGAAAAACAAACTGCAGAAGCCTAGGTCTGGCCTCAACTGGCAGAGTCGTTCAATTATGGTAAGTTCACCAGTGTCACCAGTACAGTGCCTAGTCATCTGCATTCCACAAATATTTTAGAAAAAAACATTTTTCCAGTTATGCATGTCTCCCAGTTCAATATGACATATAGGACTAGGTGCCAGGGTATCAAAAATTACTCAACTTGAAATTGTTTCAAGCTCCAGTGAACATTAATTTTCATCCATGGGGATCATTACCACTTAATGAATCAAAGTCAAGAAAAAAATAGGGGGCACGTCTTATCTGATTTCCAAAACCAAATAGCCTTTGGGCTACATCTTCTCTTGTCCACGGGTCAGATGGTACTAGTTATAATGACATGGAATCATTCACCTTGAATCCATGGAATGGTGAATTTCTTGGCAGCAGGTCTTTCTAAATCACACAAAAGAGGAAAAAAACCAAGGAATAAGCCTGAGAAACATCAGTCAGTTAAGTATTTTTGATCACTGAGGGGAGGTGAAAAGAATACAAATGGGAGTCCACTTTGAAGTAGATAAATAAGTTTGGGCAAAAGGAGTTTCCCTCTAGGCCTCAACGTAATCCTATTGAGCATGATTTTTATGTCATTATCTCTCTTCAAGACAAGTGTAGGTGTCATCATTGACCCAAGCCATGGCATTCCCCAGGTATATGTCCTCTTAGACCTCAAGATTCTTACCAAAGATGTCTTCCTTCCAGCCCAGTGTACATATCCACTGTATAATTCCTAGGGGGTTAAAATGATCCCAAGGACAGCAGGCCAACAGGGATTGCCCTCAGAAACCTCTTTGAAAGGACATAGCAGTAAGACTGAGGTCAAGGGAGAGAAGTTGATTTTTTCATGGCTACCGCTCATGCCAGCTATTCCCAAGGTATTGATAAAGTCAGTACTCCCACAAATAACCCATTGCTGACTATTGACAACAAGAAACAAGCAAGATAAGGAGAAGGCTTAGAGGTCTTTAGACATAGAACAAACTGTCAGGGGGTTCCATGAAGAGAGGAGGCTTTTCCATTGGTTACCCCTGGCTTATACATTGAAGAAAGCCATATCTGTATCCACTGGCATTATTCAGTGCATGGAAACTCTCAGGAAATGGCACTATGGGGGTCACAGAAAACTGGAGATCTACAAATAAGCTGTCAGGACACTCGGAATTGTATTTCATTTCAAGAATTGTGGCAACACCTTTTCCTGAAAGTCTCACTGTCCTTTTACTGTTTGATACCACTCTTGACCCACATAAGAACCCAATCCACCTCAAATCAAAATAATCACAGCAGGAAGAACCCATCTCCTCCTATATTTCAACCAGCATAGGATCCCTCAGAATACACAGAGGTCCAGTGTTACGGGGCTTGTCTACAAGTTGTTACATCTGGCCCCTCCTACAACTAAAAAAGAGGCACAACACCTGGTGGGCCTCTTTGAATTTGGCAGTCAACATATTTCTCATTTGGGTGTGCTACTCCATCCTATTTAACAAGTGACTTGAAAAGTTGCTAGTTTTTAGTGGGGCCTCGAATGAGAGAATGAGAAAAGGCTCTGAAATAGTTTCAAGCTACTGTGCGAGCAGCTCTGCCACTTGACATATGATCTGGCTGATCCAATGGTGTTTAAGTGTCCATGGCAGATAGAGATGCTATTTGGGTTCTTTGGCAGACCTCTATTGCTGAATCACAGTGCAGACCCTTAGGATTTTAGAGCAAAGCTCCGCCATCCTCTGCAGATAACTACTCTCCTTTTCAGAAACAGCTTTGGGCTTGTTACTGGGCTTTAGTAGAGTCTGGACACTTAACCACAGGCCACCAAGTCACCATGCAGCCTGAGCTGCCCATCATGAACTGGGTGTTGTCTGACCCACAGAGTCATAAAGTCAGATGTGCACAGCAGCATTCCATTATTAAATTGAAGTGGTATATATGCGATAGGGTTCGAGCAGGACCTGAAGCCACAAGTTACATGAGGAAGTGGCCCAAATGTCCATTGTCCCCACTCCTGTCACATTACCTTTCTTCTTCCAATCACCATTTATGGCCCCATGGAGAGTTCCTTACAATCAGTTGACCGAGGAAGAGGAAACTAATGCCTGGTTTACAGATGTTTCTGCGCAATATGCAGGTACCACTCAGAAGTGAACAGTGGCAGCCGCCCCTTTCTGGGACCTCCCCAAAGGACAGTGATGAAGGGAAATCTTTCCAGTGGGCAGAACTTCAAGCAGTGTACCTGGCTGTTCATTTTGTTTGGAAGGATAGATGGCCAGATTTGCGATTGTATACTGATTCACAGGCTGTGGCCAATGGTTTGACTGAAAGGTCAGGAGCTTGGAAGAAACATGATTGGAAAATTGGTGACAAGGACATATGGGGAAGAGGAATGAGGATGGACCTCTCTGAATGGGCCAAAGTGAAGATATTTGTGTCTCATGGGAATAGTCACCAAAGGATGACCTCAGCAGAGGAGAATTTTAACAATCAAGTGGATAGGATGATGCTTTCTGTGGATACCAGTCAGTCTGTTTCCCTAGACACTCCTGTCATTGCCTAATGGGCTCATGAACAAAGTGGCCATAGTGGCAGGGATGGAGGTTAAGCATAGGCTCAGCACAATGGACTTCTACTCACCAAGGCTGACTTGGCTACAGCCATTGCTGAGTGCCCAATCTGCCAGCAACAGAGAGCAACGCTGAGTCCCCAGTATGGCATCATTCCTAGGGGTGATCAGCCAGCAACCTGGTGGAAGGTTGATGACCTTGGACCACTTGCATCATGGAAAAGGCAGTGTTTTGTTCTTACTGCAATATACATTCTGGATACAGATTTACCTTCCCTGCACGCAATGCTTCTGCCAAAACTACCATCCGTGGACTTACAGAACGCCTTATCCACTGTCATGGTATCCCACACAACATTGCTTCAGATCAAGGAAATAACTTCTCACCAAATGAGTGTGGCAATGGGCTCATGTTCATGAAATTCACCTGTCTTACCATGTTGCCCATCATCATGAAGTGGCTGGCTTGATACAATGATGCAATGACGTACTAAAGACACAATTACAGCGCCAACTAAGGGGTAATACATTCCAGTGTTGAGTTACTGTTCTCCAGGAGGCTGTATATGCTCTAAACTAGTGTCCAATATATGGTGCTATTTCTCACATAGCCTGCGTTATTTGAAGCTAGAGTCTTAACAGTTGATATACTTAACAGTTTAACAATTTCCAAGACTCATGATAAAACTGAACTGCAAAACCGTATGTCCAGCCTCAATTGGCAAAGGCGTTCTATTATGGGAAGTTCACCACTGTAGATGGTAGAGCTCCTAGCCATCCATAATCCATAAAAATTTTATAACAACACATTTGTCCAGTTGTACATTTCTTCTAATTCAATACAAAGTATTGGACAAGGCATAGGGTATCAATATTATTCAACTTGAAATTGTTTCAAGTTCCTGTGAATCCTAAATATTCACACATGAGGATTACCACCACTTATTGGATCAGTCAAGGTCAATAGCCTTAGGGCTGCATCTTCAGTTGTCCAAGTGTAAGATGGGACCAGGTATGATGACATAGAATGACTCACTTTTAATCCAGAGAAGAGTGCATTTCTTGGCAGCAGGTCTTTCTAAAGCAGACAAAAAGAGAAAAAGAGCAAAGGAATGAGTCTGACAATCATCAGTCACTTAGGTGTTTTTGATCAATTGTAGGAGGTGAAAGGAATCCAAATGAGGGTCCACTTTAAAGATAATTAAGGCTGGGAATAGTTTCCCTCTGAGCTTCAGTGTAATCCTATTGAGCGTGATTATATATATGTACATTGTTCTTTAGATGAAGGTTTACAGAAGAAATAATTTCTCATTAAACAGTCAGTACACGTATTGTTTTATGATATTGGTTAACAACCTCTCATGTCAACACTCTCCGTTCTTGACCTTGGAGGACCCGTTTTTTTTTTTAGTGAAAATATACATAGCCAAAGTTACACCATTTCGAAAGTTTCTACATGTACAATTCAGTGACATCAATTACATTCTTCTTGTTGTGCTGCTATTCTCACTATCCTTTTCCAAATTATTCTATTATCTTCAACTCACTGTCCCCTAGGCTTCCCTTCAAACCTTTTGAGTTGCTGTTGTCAATTTGATCTCACAGAGATAATTCTTTTTTTTTTTTTTTTGTACCTTAGATGAAGGTTTGCAGAACAAATAGTTTCTCATTAAACAGTTAATAAACATATTGCCCTATGACAATGGTTAACAACCCCACGACATGTCAACACTGTCCCGTCTCAAACTTGGGTTTCCTATCCCCAGCTTTCTTGTCTCCTCCTGCCTACTAGTCCTCTTCCGTGGACTGCTGTGCCATATTAGTCCAGTTTTGTTTTATGAGGCTGTCCAATCCCTGGCTGAATGGTGAACTTCGGGAGTGACTTCACCAATGAGCTAAAAGGGTGTCTGGGGGCCATACTCTCGGGTTTCTCAAGTCTGTCAGACCAGTAAATCTGGTCTTCTCTTTGTGAGTTAGAATTTTGTTCTAAATCCTTTTCCAGCTCTGTCCAGGACCCTCTATTGTGATCCCAGTCAGAGCAGTCTGTGGTGGTAGCTGGGCACCATCTAGCTGTACTGGTCTCAGTCTAGTAAAGGCCATGGTAGCTGTGGTCCATTAGTCCTTCAGACTAATCTTTTTCTTGTATCCTGTTCTCTTCATTCTCCCTTGCTCCTGAAGGGGTGAGACCAGTGAAGTATCTTGTATCTTAGATGGCTGCTCATAGGCTTTTAAGGCACCAGACACTACTCACCAATGTAGAATGTAGAACATTGTCTTTATAAACTGTGTTATGCCAATTGAGCTAGATGTTCCCCGAGACCATGGTCCCCA